AATCCATGTGTGTCCACACAACCAGATAGCAGGGCTGTTGTGTAGAAATCACCATAGAAAGGGCTTCTACCACTAGGATAAAAATAAGACTCATTCATATTTAGAAATACCCAGTCCTTTGGACAAAACTCCTATTTCCTTTGTCACCCATTATGTAACATTCAGAGACTGCAAGATTTTCTATTCCATCTTGTGAATAAATGGTGGAAAGCAAACCATTTTATTGAGTTGATTTCATTCTGAACTGGAAATACCAGTGCATTTGGATTTTTCTGTTAAATAAAAGGCCTTCAAGTTAAAAAAAAATTGGTAGGTATCCTCTAACCAGCAAGCTGGTACCAATATACTGACGTAAATATAATTGAAGCCTGTGCCCAACAGCTGTGTTTGCAAAGCTGCTGAAGGTACAAAATACTTTGTTTTTGTAAAAAAGGAGAACGCTTACATCATCAATATTTGGGCCAAAACACCCTGAGTTCAGGATTACCTCAAACTACAGTTTTGGTTTTGCCATTATAAAGACAGTCCTTGCTTCCAGTACTCAGGTCACACATAAGCTCTTACTCTGAAACATGCTGGTCCTTTCTAACATTTGGACACTTCAAATCAATACTCGTGGCTTTGTTTTGCACTCATCTTTAGTTTTCCAAGGATAAATGTTGAGTTGCTTGATTTGACTCTCTAAATCTCAGCACCTCCTTTCCAATTCCTTCTACCTTACGCCTTCAGCCCCTCCAGTTGTCTTCCCTCACTGCAGAGATCTCTACTTCTCAGACTTGATCATTGTCGGTTCCTTACTGTCTTGGCTGCTTTCAGCCTTCAAATCTCAATTTCCCATCTGTTCTTCTAGTCCCTGGTCTTTTTTTACTCTTTTTGCTATTTCATCCTTTATATCCTTCTGGACTTCTTAGACCTATTTCTTCCATTTATGTAGACTATTTCTAACCCTGATCTCTGTCCTTGCTTCATTCTTGCCCCCCAGGCATCTGACATTGTCACTAAAGCCTTTACATCTGAACCACAGTATTTATCCCATAGTCTTACTTAATCTCTTAATTTCATTTATTCCTCACATGCTCCCAGCTCTTACTTAAAATTGAAAACATAGCTTTTTGCCATAGCATTTCAGAACTGCACTTTTTGATTTCTTACATCTTAGCAAAGGGGGGCATCTGTATCTGTATTATTTATATGCAGAAAGCATTTTGGTCATGCACGTTGTGTGACTACACAAAAATTGCATTGTTCTGTGTCTCCACACCACCTCTGAGGGTTCCAGGATTCTGTGTGGTGAAAAAGCACAAGGGAATTTTGGAAGATCGTATTTTCCACTGACAGCTCATTCTGAGCTGAAGCGAGTACACATAGCAGTGACATTTTTAGCTGTGAGTCCAAATGAAATTTTTTTGTGGTAAAAGCCAAGCTAACCCCAGTAGTTCAAAGGCCTACTGCTATATCCACTTTCTTCAGTTAATACTTGGCCCAACCACATCTACCTCTAACCTGACATTCAGCTTCAGTCTTGTGGTTTTTTTGAATTTGGCATAATCTACATAGCTGCAAAAGACTTAGCGCCAGCCTCCACTAGTCTGGAGTTGTCATTAAAACATACCTAATATGTCTTACAGGCAGGAAACTGAAGATTCTGTGAAAAGCAGATATGTTCTCGTAAAGACAGATCCTGCCATGAGATGTTGCCTTCTGAGGAGCTAGGACTGATCCGTAGCACCTCAGTCATACAGCACACGATCTCGCAGCCATGTGCAATGCATCCCCCAGGGCAGAGGAAAGGATGTTGCCCCATTTCTTTAGCTTGGGTAAAAAAACAGTAGGAGAAAGTTCCTGGTGTTTTTCTCCCACTTGCACCAACATAAAAGGCAGAGAATGAAGTGCCTTAGTAGGAGAAGATATAAAGCGTAGTCCTTGATGAATACGGATGAACTCCCTGATGTAATTTTTTTCTTAATTGACTGGATTTTGTCCAGAACAGAGCAATAAACAGAACTCATTAATTTTAACATTAATGAAGTCCATGTAGGTTGGGCTCAGACATCTCTTTGTTCAGTTGTCAGAGTACCTGAATCCAACACAAACATTTTGGAGAAGAGCAGAGACAGGGATTACAATATCGTCATAGAGTACATGACTTTCTTCCAAGACCTTTCTGCTAGGCCCCATTCATGCTTACATCTCACTTCTTGCATTCTCTGTGAACGCCCTTCATTGCCCATGAAATAACAGTGCATGAAAGAAAGTTTTAAGACTCTGGAGCCTGGAAGGTGGAAAGTACAGCATTTTCTTCCTTGCTTGCAGTAGTTGCTTTCTCCTCTAAACCCCAGTTGTTAGTTTTGCACAGTCATATCCTGAGTTGCCGACTCAAGTTGGTTTATGAGATATGGACAACTGTACCTGCCATAACCTCTCAAACACACTGCATTGCTCTGATTTACGTGTATGAAAGTGAAGGGCTTTGCTGCTAATCCCCACAAACACTTCCATGACTGGCAAAAATTAAAGCAACTACTGTTATTTTGGATTCCAGATACCTTTTCCGTTACTCGTCTATGGCTGTCTGTTACGTTTGTATGGGCAAGCAGATTATTTTGGTAGATGAGAGCTGCACTCACAAGACAGGATTTTTGTGCATTTTACAACTCTGCTCACAAGAGAAGAGCAGACAGTTCAGAACGGCAATACAAGTTGCAGTTTTGCCGTGAATTCATTACCAGTGAGAAACTGGTGGCCTCAGCTGGCACTGGTACAGCAACAAACTGAAAGCTCTAACTCGGCTGAGGAGCTGAACTGGTAGGCCATAAAAAGGTGCCAAACCATCTATCAGTATTCTGGATAATTTCCATCTGAAGTTAAATTTTCAACTCTTTTCCCCACTAGCACACAATACAGGTCTGTTGCCAATCATATTTACCCTTAGCACATGCAAACCTGCTTCATTTTCTGAGTCGTCTTCCTAGCAAATACATGCATATAGGGAAAAAAACATGCCCTTTATCGGTACTAAGCAAAATGGTTGTGTGTAAAATGTGTGAATGAGAACTGAGATCCAGATTTCCAAAGATACTGACACACCTGTGAACATTTCTAGAATCAGTTTAGATTTCCTGATAAAGAAGTAGCTTGTGACCAAGGAGCCACATTTCTCTTCTGCTTGGTTAGCATAAAATGAGTAGAATGACGTTTCTTCTTCTTGGCTAAACTAGCACAAGCTCATTGGGAGCCTATTGGAAACAAACCATTTTGGATTTCCAGGGGAAACAATTTGTGCATTTCTGAGGGTCCAACAAATTTAGATTGCTAAATCTTGTTTCAACAGCACACAAATCAATTTTGATTTAATGTCTTAAATGTCTAAATGGCTTTCAAAAATTGACATATTTCTACCCAAGACCCTTATAAACTGCAATATTGAGTGAAGCAACATTAAAATAAGTTTTTAAACCAGGGGCTGAACTGAGCACTGATTAAGGCATTCTTTCTCCCTAAGAGGAAGCCCCATAAGAAAGTATTTAAGCCTAGGAACAGGTAAGCCCTTATAAACCCTAGAATTCTGACTTAGACATCCATGTTAATTATATATAAATGACAATGGTGGAAATTTTGTAAATGGTGGTGTAAATATATAATGTAGCATAATAGCATCTATTTTAGCAACACCACAATGACCAAATGGAAAGTAGGACAGAAGCTTGCAAAAACTAAATATGTAACCACATCTTTGGTTTTTTTCAGTTCCCCTCCTCAAAAAAAACCCAAACCAAACCCCACAACAAACAAGAGTTCTGTTTAAATGGAACACAGAGAAATGGAAATGACTGAGCACTGGCACAGGTTGTCCAGAGAGGCTGTGGGATCTTCATCCTCGGAGATTATTCAAAACCTGTCTGGACCTGGTCCTGGGCAGTTGGCTCTAGGTGGACTTTCTTGAGCAGGGGGCTTGGACCAGATGCCCTCCAGAGGTCCCTTCCAACCTCAATCATTCTGTGATTCTGTGAAATGTACAGATGCTTCCACATATACTTTAGAATTCAGCAAAATAAAGTAAAGGTAGTTGGTTTGTCCAACCTTAAACAGTAAATCAGCAGAACAAGCTGGCTGCTTGAATGGCCAGATTGCTTTCTGGTCATTGTAAGAAGAAGACAGATCAAGGACATCCATGCCAATGTATGTAACAGGAACCATCTCAGTAGTTCTCTTTACTGAACAATGTGGGTTAAACGTTTATAATTCATACCATTTAATCACAGCTACTTTGTCCTGTCACTACTAAGCTACTGTTGAAATTGCTTGCTCTTCCCCATCAGCCTAACCAGCTAATATTTTCTTCTTGGTGTGCTCACAAATTCGTGAGCTTTACTTTGATATGAGCCTTCTTTGACAGCTCATATCTTAGGTGAGAGCCAAATGGGCATTTTCCGCAGCACAGCCACTTGAGATTCCCTCCCTGGCTTTTTAAGTCTCTCCTGCCTTGCTTCACTACCCCAGTCCTCCCAGTCAGTGTCCTTCTGAGCTTTGAGTTTTTCAATTATGAGTGTCTGTGTGTATGTGCACATGTAAATCTTTATTTAAGATTCTGTTCTCACCCTCAAAGATGTTTGCTGATCTATATACCCCATGTTCTCTTCCAGTATGCCAAGACTACTGAGGTAAATTTCTAAGGGGGAACAGATAGTCCTGAGTCCAATTGCTGCAGCTGGTGGCCACCTTCTACTTTCTGGCACAGCAACCCATGCCTCAGTCTTGCTCTATATTCCTCATTTGTTCATTGCTTTCCATCTATACTGGGTGTTCCTGCGAATGCATGTCTGAAAGCAAACGCTTGGAAATTTCAGTCACTACAAATCCCAGAAACTAATTCAAATTCTTAAACAAAAGTATTACAAATATGTTTTGAATAGAAATTTAAAGAGTTTAGTAAGATCTAAAAATACCAGGTAGGCATCTTTTAAAAGATAGCTCCCTCCCCTTGTCGTCCCCCCCCCAAGCTCTACATCTTGCCTGATTGTATAAAAATGCAAATCCTGAACAGAATATATTTTTAATCTTTGAAAACCTTAAACATGCCATGCCCTAATTCCAGTTGTATACGTTCCCTATTGCCATTTCAGTTCCCAAATTAAAGCTAGCCATAACTTCCTTTGTCTAGTACTGAATCCATGCACTTCAAAGACGTTGATACTTCCTTTTTTGCTTTTTGCAAGGTCATTATTTTAATGAGAATCTTTCCAATAATTACAGACTACTTTTCTATCATTAGGGTCTATCATTGGTCGTGAAATTCAATATGCAGATAAGAAAGCAAATCCAGCCTTCACTAGCATGTCTCAAGGTGCTAAGATTCAAAATGCAGTGGGGCTGAATTCACTCTTCTAATCACAGTAGGATCAGACTTTGGGATGTCACGTTAATCATCCTCACAATAATCCCATTTTAAAATGTACTTATTTAATGCCAGGATTATACATCTTGATCAAAACGTATTCTCGGGTTACAATAGGGTGCCTATAACAGGGCACAGACAGCCTGCCTAGGTGTAATGAGGCTGATGGATGAATAACAATGTCGCTATTCATACACCCAGACCCTGCTGTATCTCAGCCATCTGCTGCTGAAACTGCAAATCTGTAGAAGATGGTAGATTTTTTTTTTTTCTTCAGACAGCGCTTCTCATTTGATATAACTTGCAGGCACTGGATCTATGCTTACTTCTTCTAAGTGAGAATCCCAGATCAACTTTTTACTGTCAGAAGGCACTTGCAAGCTTGGAATAACAAGCAACTGTGAAATTATATTCCTTGAAAGAATATGCCTAACTGGTTGAAACTGTAAAAGGAATTCCTTTGTTAACACAAATGAGATCTAAAATTAGAGTTTTAAATGTAAAGAAGTTGTACAGGAGAAGAAAATAGCAGCACAATATCTACAGCGCAGAGCAAGAAAAATGCAGCTCAGTAAATTGCTCATGTGAATGGTCTTGATGACTCCAGTGGATTACCGATGTGAGAAAATTTTGCACAGTTTGGCCTACAGTTACAATTAAAATTAATTTGTTTCAGAAGTCATCAGCTTCTGAAACCTCCTGAATGCTCAGGGCTTTGCCTCTGAGAGGCACGAAGCGGTATGGCTGACATCTAGGAAGGACACACAGCTGCTTAACACCAGTCCACGTCGACACTAGTACTGCAGAACATTACAGGACCTGTGCTAGATGAAGAAGTGGTCTTTGTGTGATGATTAGGTTTTTGACAACTGTTGCAAATGAGGGAAGAAACAATGTCAAAATACTTTTTTTTCTTAGAAAACAGTGGCTAGTTTACACTTTGTGATTCACACTTAAAGCACAGCATCTACCACTATTTACTGTCTGTTAACACTAGATTGCTGTAGTTTAATGCTATCCCAGGATGCTCTGTTAGTAGTAGCTATGTATCCGGAAGCCTGTTACAGGCACTTACCGACTAAACAGATTTGATTTCTCTGCATATTTTTAGTCACTGCTAACAGCAGTGATCATTCTATATTCTGTACAGAAGAGAGGGAGCTGGACTTTGTTTTGTTTCATAGAGTTGACTTTTTCCTGGTGTTGTCTTTCATAAGACATACTTTCCCTGATGATCTTTCTCAGAACCCAGGATTTTCCAGACCTTGACCACAGCACAGTCTCTAGGGCTGATATATTCTTGCACATTTACTGGCATCATCTGCAGTTTCACACGGCTAGTAGCATTCTACACCTCATCTCTCATTTTTGTAGATACCTGAAAGAATCCACTTTTTTGCTCAGAGAGCAATTATTGAGACACAGCACAATCCCTGGTAATGTTTGTCGTGGAACAGACTTCATTAAGTTAGTCAAAATCCATGTCCCACAGTTCAACTCAGAAGAATTCTGACAACTGGACAGGAGGCTACCTCCTCAGTAAATTCATGACTGCGTACATATACTCAACAACTATGGTAACCAGAGTATGTGAAACACAGAAAATTTTCTACATTACTTATACATCTCAATGTTTACCTGCTCAGCCTGTACTATTAAACTTTCAGAATTCCTGTTGGAGGTAGCTACAAAATGTCACAGTCAGCCTGCTGGAAATTTTCAGCAAAGGGTCCTCCAGAAATTTCTTTTTCCTTTTTGTTTAAATGGAGGTATAGAACTGCTGCCAGGTATACCTGAAATACATACAAAGTAGTTCCAGTAAAGTTAGCTAGGCATTCCACTTATTAAGGCTACACTACAGCTATACAAAATGATCCCTCACCAGCTACAGATTTCAGGAAAAATTCTCCTTGTCCAATGTACTTTTGATGGCACAAACAAAAGCACCTCTGCTGCTTCTTGTTCAAAATATTTTGTATGCAAAAAAAAGGTTATGTCCGGCATAACGTGAAAAAGAGGGTGTTCACAGGTTAACTCAGGCAAGGGAGGGGCACAGGAGAACATATCTCTACAGGGGGATCTCACGCAAACCCTATCAGCAGCATACATTAGAATACGCCCCTTCCTGCTCCTGTACGCAGACTGGAGTCCCCAAATCAGACAGCACAGATGTCTTACCCCAGCACTTCTCTCTACTGTACTTGAGCACACATAGGAAGGAACAGAAAGCCACAGTCAATTTGAATAGCATGATTATAAAGTGACTTCTGAGAGCACAACCTAGTGCTTTGAAAGTCTCTGTCAACAGACCCATGTCTTTCTATCAAGAGAACAAGTACTATCAACAAAAACCCTCCAGTTTATCTCCAACATGGTTGCTTCCAGCCATCCAGCCTCGTTCAATGCTGCAGGAGTGTTTATGAGACAGATATTTCAGGTGTTGGTGTGTGTCTATTTAAGCTTTGCTTCTTTGCATGGACTGCTGAAGAACAGAAGCAGTCCTACTGATTTTTGACAATTCACTGCAAGGTGCTTTCATACCTTGTTTGAAATGGTGTGAAATTGCCCGGCAGCAGTGATCACACCTACTGTCTCTCTAAATAAAGACAGACACACATTGTTAATAATACCCTGGGCCCTTCAGTCCCTTTGCACCCTGTATTGTGTTTACCATCTACAATATTCCGTCTGGTTTCATTTATAGGTTAGGCTTCTATAGACAGGAAAACACGCTGGCTGCTGCTGACCCTACTTCTAGCATGTACAAGTGGAAGGGGAATAGAAAACACAAGTGGATACAAATAATATTTTAAAGGCCTGAAGGATGACTTTGCACAAGAAAGGGTTTAAGGGTTAAAAATGCCTAAGGTCTTACTGCCAGGCTTTCAATTTTCATCATATTGAAAGTGGTTTTCCCTGTTCAGGAGAGAGAGGCTAATGCAACTTGTGGCTGAATCCTTCAATGTTCATTCAACTTTATGTTAAGCGAGAACAAGTCTTTTGGTTTGACCAAGACGGCTAATGTGTATAAAACCAGGGGTGATCCATGCTTCTAACTTGTGTTCCACACCATAAGGTGCAGATATTAACTTTTAAACGTTTTGTAGAAACCGTAAACATTGCAATTATTACCCCAGGAAATGCAGTAACATTGCAATTTTCAGCCTCTGGTAATTAAAAGCAGATGCGCTTTCACATTTTGGTAAATTTTAAATCAATGTAGTATAAGCAACATTGTTACTTTGGGTGACAAAGCAGTTCTGCTAAAGGTCTATAATATCATGAATGACATGGAAAAGGAAAAGAATAACCATCCACTGGTTTTGTTCGTAGTAAATAGATGAAGAGGACAATGAATAAAGCCTATTAGACAGCAGACTGAAAAAAAAAGATAAAAGAGATCTTGAGCTATGGAACGCATGTCTTCAGTGTGTCATACAGGTCAGGTCTGCACTGCTGAAAAGGCAGTACATTTGAAAAGGTTTGAATACAAAGGGAGGAAGACGACATCTGCCCTACGCTCATCTTTTTCCTAAGGCTGTTACTAGCATTGCTGGCTGTAGGGTACCAGGCTCAGTGGGCTCTCAGTATTTTCACTTTTTGCACGTTATTCACAAATGGAGCTGGCTATTGTATAAACTCAGCTACCTAGCTGAGGTATTTGTTAGAAATTGGAAATTCAGAGCTTGAAGGGACCTGCAGAGACTATTTAATACAACCTTCTTCGCACTGTGCCAGGAATAGGGGTATTTTGTGTAATCTGTTTTTAAAAGTAATCTCCACCCGAGTAAGGTTCCAACAGCAGTTTGGGTAGTTTGCTTTTCCCTTCTTGTACTTATTAACATTTCTCTGCTATCTGTTCTAAAACTTACTTCTTGCAAATTAAGGCAATTCCTTCTCATCTTTCCTATACTGGAAAAAAAAAAAGTATGAATAAACTAACTTAAAATGGCCTTACCGTTCCAATGAATGTAAGGGCCATCAAACCATAGGCAGCATGTACTGCTGGTCTGACTTCCATGCCCCCAGTTTCTGCAAATCAGGGCTTTCCTGATTTCCACACACTTCTCCCTTTCCATTTTAATAAACATTTCACTTGCCCTGTCTCATGCCAATCCCCTCTGATTTTTCTGTCACACGCGCCCCATTTCCAAATCAGAGCCACAGAACACAGTTAAGTTTTCTGTTGCCTTACTGTCTGAACCTGCTCTTTCAATACCAACTCCCCAGTGTTTCCCAGCAAGCTGCTGCTGCCGCCTACCCCATCGGCATGCAAGGCCTGTCGGTCTCTCTGCTGAGCAGCATGCAATGGAACCACAGCACCATGAACCAAACTGACAGCGTTGTGGGCGCATGTCTCAGGCCATACGTTGCACAAGTAATTCCAAGTTCACAGGTAGTTTTAACCGCTAAGTAGTCAGCATCCGCTCTTGTGGGACTGGTCACCCAAGCTAGAGGAAATTTTTTTTGATTACTTCAGCACCCACAAACATTTTAAAAAGTGCAATAACAAAACGTGAACACCAAATAACAAATAGTAAATATTATTTCTAGTACACAAATTCTGTAAAAGTTCAGATAAAATACAACCACTCTGAAAATAAAAGCAGAATCATTCACATAGAGCTTGCAAACATCAATTAAAAAGTACTGTAAACATGGCTTATATGAATTATTCCTGGTAAATGATCAAATGTTTGTTATTCATACTTCCCCTGCATTCAACTAACACTGTTTGTTGCCCAGGGCAACCTTGATCTAGGATCTAGAAAAGCATTTAAGCACTTACTGAACTTGTATTTAACAGAAGGAAAACAGAAGATGCATGTTAAAAAAACCACATAGGAAGCAGCTATAGCACAACTCTCCCACCCTAAATGATATTGCTGCAGATATAATAATTACCTCACGCTTAAACACAGAATAAACACACAGAAATGAAAAAGATATCTTTATCTATTGAGCAGATGGAAGAAGTGGTGAACTTTCAAATACTCTTCTGCACTTTGTTCACTGAAGTCAACTGCAAATACCCCTTTGGCTTTCATGAAGTCGGTGCAGACCCTGGCAAGAAACTGCTTTTATTTGTAGAGAATGTCTACCAGTACCTGAAATTGAAAGCTGGCACAGCCGCCTTCTCTCCTGCTACTGGGAAAAATAATACTGGCTTGAGAAGATTTACAGACAAACAGAATCTGTTTATGCTGGTAAGCTGGGTTTGGCCCCAGCCACATTTTGGAAGACAGAGCCTTCCAGGAGCCATTTCCCATAGGTAGTTCACACAAGCGTAAACAAGGGCTATTCCAGCTAAACTCAACAGTAGCAATGCTCCTGTGCAGGATTAATTTATTAGAACAGAAAGAGCCTAAGTGTGCCATTTTCTGTAACTAGGATCTCTTAAATTTCAAGAATTTAACTTGTTTGAAGATACAGCTCTTTTGAGAGTGCTGTTTATATAGCTACATTTGAGAGGACTTCCCTTTCTTCTTTCTCCCTGAAAAGGACATAAGAAAAGAAAAACATGAAAAATATTACTGAAATAAAGAGTAGGACGGAAATACACCTCATTGCAATATATAACAGATCAAATACACAGCAAAGGCCGTAAATATTAATGTTAAAATGATTAAGTTTCCCAGAGTCCCCAGTATCACACAGTTCTAAGAATGGGATTTAGTTCTGGTATCAATGAGGAAAGAGATGATAAGGCTTGAGGCTGTGCAGCAGTTTGCCCTTTCTCTTGTTACGCTACAGGCGAAGCATGCCACGTTAGGAGGCATTTAAGAACCTCCCTGGTGTTAATGTTTGCCCCGGTTTTAATGCTTTACTGAAGAACACTGTCTGATATTCTTTTGGCAACAGGGATTTCTTGATAGCTGACATTCCAAGTTATTTTGGAGTGATTTGAAATGCCCACTGAAAAAGGGAAAATTACTGACTGAGAGTCCCATGGTAAGTGTGGTTCTGCCATGTGGGTGCACAGACCAAAGGGTCATGCAACAGCTCTCCCGCTGTCATTGTAACGCTCTTTCAAAAGTCCACTCACGTTGGTTCTCATGTGTTGAAATTTTCTTTAAGGAGACTTCAGGTTCACCAGAGGGGGCAGAATTACTTTCAGCTGAAAATCCCTGTGCAAGAAATACAGATCTGTTATTATCACTGCAGTATGCATCTGAGCTACACAAATACAAAATCAATGTTGTCACTATAATATTAGTATCAGTTCTGCTGATATTTTTCCTTATATTACCTTGTTTCACTAATACAGTAGACTATTTTCGCATAGCTGAATCTATAGCAAGTGTTACTGCATTTATTCTTATTACTCCTCAGACAGATAAAACTCGCTTGAACTGTTCAATTGTCATTTCTGATACATGACCTTTGATGATGAAAGCTGTCATTAAAAGGAGAATAAAACTGCAAACTGGGAACCATTCCTACTAAAATGTGAGCAGGTACTATCAGGGAAGGGAGGTCGGCTGAGGTAAATTAAACCTTGATTACAAGATGATTAATATCAAGAATGCCATCCAGGGGCAAAAAAATCCCAGCAGAAAAGCAACTACAATTTGCAAATGTTGCAAACATCAGAAATCTGAGTGAAAAATGAAAAAATTGGGAAAATGACACTTCATATTATATAATATATGCAGATAAATATACATAAACAAATATCCAAAGGTAAAAACTTGGACTTACCTTTGATTTTCTCTGTGCACAGCAAATACCAATAGTTATAAGCATACAAATGAACACAAAGGAAATGCTGATTCCTGCCACTAGAAGAGCAAAAAGAAAGGTACCCATGAGTTCAAGCTATTAAGGAAAAAATTAATACCTACATTTGTGGTGGATAATTATGCAGCATGAAATGGTTATGTGTGACACTAAAATCTCGGTCTTTATTTTTCCTACAAACAAAAAACCTCATTCGAGTCTGGATTTGTACAGAAATGAACCGAGCATATTACAGCTCATCACAGTCAATGATTTTTTGACAGTGCAAAGGACGTGCTGTATTCATCTCCAATCTTAATATACCAACAGTTACTGCTGCTCACAATATTATTGGTGCTGCAGATTTTACCGAAACAAAAAGCCCCAAATACTAATATATAGTACTAAAGTAAGTTACTATGGTTTAGTCTAGCAGAGTGATATGCTCATTACTCAAATACCATGATTTGCAATTAAGGAATGTCTTCAATACTGTTTTACAAAAACAGAGGTTTTCAGGCTAGTGTAGGCAAGTCCATACAAAGCTTTTGTTTTCTATAACCAATTGCAGTAAAAGAAATTAAAAGTTCAAAACTTAGGTAAAGAAAAGAATTATTTAAGCAGAAGTATATATATTAATGGGGTCAACTTACCTGTTGGAGCTGCCAATGGATGATTTTCTGTTGAAAAATTGAAAAATGGAAATTAGAAACATGAGAAAACTGTACAACTCTGTAGAATGTAGCTAAAGCTGTTTTCCCTACCTTTCTTTTGGTGATTACAAAGCACTGATTTTACAGCAGGCATTAAAAGGAAGCTGACTCATTATTTCCTGCCAAAATAATAGATGGCAGCTCTTTGCTACTCTGTACCTATGTTCACCATACTTGTATGCTGATTTTTCTTTACCTCCTTCATATGTGCTTTGTCTGTTTGGCAGAGTGCGACGGAGCACTCTCATATATTGAGTGAGCTGTGCATTTACATATATTTATAATTAGCATAACTAAGTCCAAGTCAGAACAGCAGCTTTCTTCAGATCCTGCCATGCTGAACGAGGAAGGAGGAAGCAGGCAGATAACAGCTGCTGCCAAAGGTTTGCTCCTCCTTTTTGCCTTTCTTCCATCTTCACCGCCGAGCACTGAGTAGCATCTTGGCATAAGAAGCCCAAAGACACGAGGATGAAAGAGGGCAGGTAAAATTCCTGATTTTTCAGCTGGCAACATTGCCCTCGCAGCTGCTTCAGAGACCACCACCACACAATGCCTCACAAATGCAGGAACTGAGAAAGCATTAGCGTTCTGAAGCCCCAGCTTGTACCTATAAGGTTTCATGCAGCTCGTAGCTGGGATCGTAAGAGCAAAGATGGGGCTTGTGAAAGCAGTCACTTGGTAAAGCCTCTAGAAAGGTCTGCAGGAGCAGGGTATCGCTTGAGACAGACGCAGAGGCAGGTGCTGTTGGCCCCGCACAGAGGGGCGTCACAGAAAGAATCAAGATACTTGGCAGGTCTGTGGGGCCTTTTTCTGCTGTTTTCTTCCCCATCGGTTTTCTTCCCGTAGCACAGAATACCAAGCTACCCGCTGATCATGGAAAGGGCCTGACATTTTATACTAAGTGACATATTTTCTGCTTCTTGACAGACAATGATTCAGGCTGTGCTATTTGAGATGTCTGAAATATTCTTTGTGCTTCAGCTTCCACTTCTGCAGAAACAGGGGAAACTTGTTTACATCAATCACAGGGTTATATTGCTGCTAAATTGGTTTGTGTTTGCAAATATTTTTTTTTAAGGCTTTTGGATAGAAAGTCATTGGGAGGAAAACAACAGGGGAAAAATGGAACAGGCTTGGGTGTACCCACTGAGGGAAGAACTGACTCAGGATTTGGAGGAAGCAACAAAATAAAAAAAACCCCACACCTGGAATGTGATTGTTCCCATGTTGTGGTGTTTCTAATTCAGGAGCTTGCGTGACACTGGAAGCAGGTGAGACACTATATGATGATGTTGTGGTGTTTGCAGCAACATCCCTGTTGTTACAAATATATCCTAAAATAAAAAAAAAATAAATATTATTGCTGGAGTATGTCATACCAGTTATTATTAAAGTTGTTTGATAATGTCTGTTATAAAATCCTGCTTTCAAATGCTCATAGCTTGGACAACCTTGCCTGCTGTTTCATGTTTGCAGTGTTTCCCTCCATCCTGCTTTTCTGTATGAATACTTCAGTTGAAATTGTTAAGACATTTCTCAGAAAAATTTTTGAAAAACAAGACTGTCATTTACTCAGCTAACCCCCCCCCTATTTTCACAGATATCCTTCTCAGATATTGTTTCCTTGCTTTGGAGTAAGAAAATGAAAGCCATAAAGGAACAATAGTGGAGCTATAGCCTTTACTAGATTTGGGCACTCTGCGAAAATTAGCCAGACCATTTTCATTTGCTTTGATGCGGCTCGATAAGATACAGCAGCTAAATTCACCTGGGATGTTTATTGATATGCATCCTCATTCTCACTTTTCCTCTTGCCCTATATGTTTCTCAAATGGGAAGCAACCACATTAATACAGATGATGACACTCGTTAGCTTGCTTTAGTTAATAAATGAAAACACCCTTTCTTTCACATTTTTCCTCAACTTCAGTTGCAAACTAATGAAAAAAAATTTTGGAGAGGGACGAACGATACTTTCCCTAAACTTTTTCTGAATGACATGAAGAGAGGAAAACTGTACCCTTTGTTAAGTTATGGGAGCATTAAGCAGACGCTTTCTTACACAGCCTCAGTTGTGACATGAAAAACGAAACAAAACAAAACCTTTTCTATGGAAGCAAGTTTAGCCAGTGAAGTTCCAGGAGGTTCCACGCAGGAAATAATCAGCTCTGAAACACCACAGGGGGACAAAGCTCTGCCACGTGAGATTCTTGGATGTACAAGTTAAAAAAAATTAAAATCACCAAACACGTTACATAATTCTGGTGCCCCCTAGTATCTCCTTATCTGTAAAGTTCTGCTTAGAATTATAGCATCATCTCCAGGAATAACATCCACAGCTTCTCTGGAAGTGAGCAAACAGATGCACCCACGATGCTGCAATTAAAAAAGAACTGCACTTATGGGCAGACACTGCCTCTCTCTCCGAGAATATGCCACGCTTGGTAGCAATGGGCTTAAGTTGCTCAGTGGTTAGGAGAAAAACTTGCTTTGTCACCGTGAAGATTTTATAGGACTCTGCCAAGCAGAGCGCAGCTCCACGGAGTGGGCCTGATGATATGCATATCTCCGTGACCTCCTTTGAAAAGCAATGGCTTGTGCTCTTGAGAGCAAATGTATGTTCGTGATAAGAAGGTCCGTTAGCCAACCCCCTCCACCTCTTAAACCCTTCTTAAATTCTCCCTTTGTTGCTGCCTTTAGTGGGACAGAGGTGTAAAGAAGAAAGTACCTTATGTCTTCACACCAATCTATACCTAATTTTTTCTTTTTTCACAAGGAAACCATGTTCTAGTGAAAATTTATGACACAGATTCAATCAGTCATAAATTCCAACTGCTAAATATAAGATCCCTTCGTTATTGCCTAATATTAGGCACAAATGATGTAAGGGGTCTCTCAGATCATATCCAGTCACAAATTCTGAGTATTAAACACAAACATTTTCATTAGACAGAAATGCTGTGAAGGGCTGGGGTCCTGACAGTCCTAATAATGCAAAAGGTGCAGTTGGGAAGAAGTTAATGAAACTTGCGGAGTGGGATACCACCCCTTCTCACTTCTAATCAGCAAATTTACAAAGACTTTGTGGGACGATCCGGAAGACCTGGTGCTTATTGTTAAATGGCCTGAAATCATTCAATTTTTTGCTTTCTTTGCAGTATCATTGAGACACTGTCACTGTACCTGTAACTAGCAGTGCTGACAAATAAAAAAAAGGGGGATGGGCTGTATGTGTTGTCGTAGTTCTACTATTGATTGTTAGAACATTGGTCATTATTGATATTAACATTTATTTTCATCATTCATTAATGAATCTAAGATGAGCAATGTTGCAAGAAGTCTTACCTTATGCGTGTCTTTGTACCTGCAGAGGATTTCTTTAAAATACAACAGCCTGACTTATTCTTGAAGTTTTATTAGGGGTACCTCAGATGTTTGTATGGCAAAATAATTGCATGCTTTTTAAGTGAGTTATAGCTCACTGATAGAGATGTAACTAAAGTAATCATTCGTGTGGTACCCTTACAGTAATGCATAGAGAAAACACCTTCAATGATTGTACAACAATTTATACAGCAAGTCATACAAATTAACATTTAGAATATACTTAGGAATATCTTCAAAAAGTAATTACGAGTATTGAAGAGAAAGTAATAGCTGAGAAAACAAATATAAAGAAATGTTCGCTCACCTGTAAACAACAGAATGAACACAGGTACTGTCTTACACATCTTCATTGTTTCCTTTTGTATCTGGCAAAGGGGAAAACCAACAGAAAATGAACCTGAAATAATCCCCAGGTCACTGTCGCCACAGCAAAGCAGCTGTGATCGTTACCCCCTGAGGGCAAAAGATCTCAAAAGCCTGACCCTGCTGCACTTATCATTTGCTGAGCTGCTTACTGGCTGAACCAGACTGCTTCCAAAAACAGCTGTGGCAAGGGCTTAGCTGCCACGGAGGCTGTGCAGCCCCAGGAGCTTCGGATGTCCTGAAAAGAATTTACTTACTACTGAGGGAAGTGTGCAGGGAGCACAAAAATCATCAAACCAACAGCTAGACGACAAGTCCTATTCGTACGTAAAACAAGTTCTGAACTGTGCATTTACTAAAATACTCTGGTTGTGATGAGGATACTGTCGTATGTCACACCTCCAGAGAGACTTGGTGTAGATCTCAAAGCTCTTTGTAAGCATGGAAAATGTATTCTTTCACAGATGGAAAAGCCTGGACACATGCAAGTGAAATGCCCGTTGATCACAAAAGACAACCAATTTCTTTTGCACTAGTCACGGACCATAATATATTCCTAAATACCCAGTGTACCATAAAAATAAGTATTCAAAGTAAACATTGCCAGCCTGTAAAGTGTAATGATTAGTCACATACCTGGTTATTTAGGATCATTTAAAGAAACAGCATTATGCCTTCTACGGCTGCTTCCCCGGTGCATCTCAAAGTTGTTGGTCAGTGTTCCAGGTGGTCTGACACAGGTATGTACCTCATCCAAGGGTATACCCCAGATGATGCTGAGTTAACTATTGATAATTTGAATTAAAAGGAAATAAATTTGTCAAGCAAAAGGAGTTTGCTTGGCAAACCATCATCCCACTGTCAAAAATCTCACCCTCTTTCTCTGCTGAGACTATTTCTTCCAAAGTATACATACAAGAGCCACAACATGGAATGCTTGCATCTCCATGGGCTCGTGCACCGTACTACAACTCATGACAAGTAGGCTTTTCCTGGATGTTCCTCAGCCACAAACCTCCACACATGAAAAACATAACAGTTAGACTTTCAGGAGTGACAAGGTGCTGCCTCACCAAATATTAACCCCCCATCCCCCAACTGTTTACAATCTCTCTATATGAATAAAATTGCCAAATGGCACTAAAACCAAGCAAACAGGAGTAACAAGTGTTTGGATAGACATCTCCATTCTACAAGACAGCGTAATGCTTGCAACAATGTTATATTAACAGCTATTTTTCAGTGCACACATCCTTATCTTTTCTTCTGAACTTTTCTTTATCAGGTCATAGCAGACCTTCACAGTAAGAAACGCTGGCACCGAGTTTTCTGCCTTCCGAGTCTATTGCTAACCAGCACAAGAAACCGGTTTCATTACACATCCTTTTTCTTTCAAAGACTGCTCTCAAATTACCGTGTAAGAGATGTTTTCTTCTCAGACTCTCTTTGAAGAATATCTCCAATAACAATCATATTTTCTGTCCTTTCTAATAATCTTATGGAAATTTTTTCTGGAGTAAGTAATTAATATCTTCATGCATCTCCTGTGTACGCCAAAAAAAAGTATTCGCTATGCAAGTGGAGAACCACAGCTCCTTCTACAGCCGATGGAAAGAGGCAATTGAGAGGGAGAGCCCCCAAAAGGCATTGTGAATTTCTGAAGTCCCAAAGCCTGGCCATCAGTTCAGATGGATGCTAGGAAAGAATGGCCTCTTTTGCCTGAACCCTGCCCATCTAGCTAACTTGTCTAAAACCCGTCCATTTTGCCTACCTTTTCTACATTCAGACACACACTTGTAAACACTAAGGAGGGAAAAGCTACAAACAATGAATGCACCCACCCGCAGGAGAGGAAGAGGGTATATAAAATGTGTCGGATGCTCATTTGCAACTGATAACAGAAAGCTTCCTTTGGACCACAGAGGAGCTCTGTAACCCATAAAGGTTAGCTCTGTATTGACGGTGCTTCTGTTTCCCCGGGCTTAAAGTGTAAAACCCTCAAGCCCACTGTCCCCCGACAAAAATGTCTCACGACTGACAAAATCTCTTTCCAATGTATGCTTTATAAAATGGTACCAAAAATCCAGACCTCCTCTTTAGGAGAGACGCCTCATCTAGGTGACCTGACTTACCAGGGAGTACTGATCCCTATTTCATGACCTCTCCTGGATTTCTGCCTGTCACACAAGCACTTTCAGACGGAAGGACGGGGGGCAAAGCCCAAAGTTTATAGGAGAGACGCTTCCTTCTCTTTACAGAGATCAACGGTTTAAAGGAGAAATGCATTTAATGCTTTAGGATCATTGTGCATTGTACCAAATTTGTATCTGATAAACATCATGCCTAATAGATCACCTACACTTTGCCGAACGATGAAAGTTCTACACAGTGTTACAAAAGAGGGAAAAAGAGATATATACATATATGTGTGCGTATATATTTTTTTTTCTACTTTCTCTTACATGCTGGCTTTGGAAAGTTCAGTTTCTAATTAACAGCGCCAGTTAGATGGCCAGGTAATTATCTAGTTGGTGGCTACGGTATCTCCATTTCTCCTCATACGTTGCAGCAGCTAATGAGATGTTATGCCACGGGTACAGGTCCTTTCCCTATTAGCTCCTCTCCTAAGTTTTGAGATTTGCTTTGTTTGCTCCTATTAGAATTGTTTGGGAAAAAAAAAACCCTATGATCTATTTTTGTTAGAATGTTTTGATTTTGAAATAGTTTTGGGAATGGTGCAGCTCTGATAAAACTGTGATAGAAAACCATTAAATTTCTGCCTGCCTAGAAAGCTGTGCTCCCAGAGCGTGCCTCTCCGTGACAGACATGTGTGGATTCTTTTGGACACGGGAATGCACAGAAGTCAGGCTCATAAGCAGCCTGATGATAGGCAGCCCCAAAGCCAGGATTTTTAGAATTCCCGGGTCTATTATATGCAAGAAACAATTTTAGAAGTTTTAACTGAGAAGGCATATTTCCCAGATTGCCATCCCTTTGCCACCTGGAGGCTGAAGCAAGCCTTGAAATCCTGGGATCTGTGGGTCAGCGATACCGTACAGCTGCATTTGTGGCACTCCACATTTAAAAAACAATGTAAGGTGCTTAAACTGGTGTCATGTATCTCTGAAATCAAACATGATACAAAAGCTATGGCAAATCATATAGAATTGCTTTGTTTGGTAGAAGTTAGTTATATATGAATTTGGCTGTGTATGCCAAATATTGTTTATTCTTAATAGATATCATAGGAAGAATAATTAATCTAATGGACTTTTTTTTATTAAAAAAGTGGACAGTAGTTATTATGGGTTGTCTGTCTAAAAAAATACTTGATGGACACCGTAAGATTCCACATGGTCTACCAGAATGCGCACTGCCATGCTGCGGGCACTGTACAGAGGCTTGACCAGCAAACACTGTTTGCTTAAAAAATGCTTGAGCCTCACATCTGTGACTCTATATATCAGACACATAGTCTATAGCCATCTGGATTCACGCAGAGCCGCCTGAATGAGTGTTTAGGACTCATTTGACCTGATACCAGGCCAGTGAGTTCAGATTCAGCTGTATTGTGCTCTCAAGTGCAGCGGTGAAGTACTGAGAGGCAGGCTGTGAGTGTATTTTCCTTTCCCCTTTGCAGGGGGATGCACCCTTGAAGGTGGCATCACATACAGCTCTTCCCCACAGAAAATCAACAGCCAAGATGTCAGTGGAATTCTCACTGACTGGATATTGACTGCTGAAGAACAGATGAGTTTTGCTCCTAGTGTGATTTTATGATCTTGACCCTTCTTTCAGTTCCTCCATCTCTCTTGGAGCCCATATTCTCTACAGAATGCTCTAAATCTTCACACCTGTCAATCTCTCTACTCCGGTTGCTGTATCTTGCATTTCTGAAATCTGCTGTTGTTGCCACTGCTAGCAAGAATGCCAGAGTGAATCCAGTCTTCTAATTTTAAAAAGTGCCACAGCAGCAACAGATTCACCATATGACAAATAACAGTGATTTAAGAAACAAAGTGGAAGTGGGGGTGAAAAGTCAGAAAGCCACCTGTAAACAACTTTGCTGAAACTACAAACTTAAGAAGCATTTTGTCACCCCACTTCTCCCTAGTAAGTTGCCTAAATATCTAGAACTCTTCTCCAATCCTTCTCAACTCCATATTCTCATCTGCAGTCATTTTCTTGTCCTCACACATTCAAATACAGGCACCTCAAGATTCCTGGAGTGACAGCAATACTTATATAGAGGCAACAGAGAAGTAATTAGCCAATAAATTGACCATATTCATGGTGGCAGCGAAGTCTCAGCACCCTGAGGTTCAGGTGAACGCAGGCCACTAGGTGAATGTACTAAGGTAATGCAAGGAAGAACTTAAACCTTGCAACTCTTCACATAAGTACATTAATCATCGGTAACAGAGTTATCTGCAGTGGTTGACGTATTGCCAACATGTACAATCCTGCCCTGGAGGAAACGATCAGCCCTTAACGTCGGCGGAGTTGCATTAGCTACCGCCCCTCAGGAACGGAACTGTAAAATGTAAGAGCACCATCAAGTATGAAGAACAAAAAGCAATGAAGTATAGTATCTTAGTACTATAAAAGTTTCCCCTTCTCTTTCTACAGCCTGTACGCCTATAGAAGTAATTCTATTTAACATGAAATGAAAACTTCTAGCTCTATGGGACAGAAAGCTTGTCTCTAAATTTGTGCATAAAGAAGCTGGCTTCTATATGCTGTAAAAAATCAACTGTCTTTGGTAATAAATGATCCTGGCAACAAGTACTGGAGAATAGTAGGAAAGCATCCTTTTGGAGTAATGTGCAAAATGTCTGAAGAGTTAAATATTTTTCCAGTGACATCAGTGTCATGTGATCATAAAATGGCTTGTTACAGCATTTAAAAAACATATGGCCTGAAGTTCTAAAATTCTGGATTTTTGCAGACTAATATTGCCAACAGGAAAGTCCAAGTTGTAAGCTGAAAAAACCTCTCTTATTTGCTCTGTACCTCATGGTAATGCTATGTTATGTCAAAACAAATCGATGTGTGATTCTTTCCATCTTCTAAACAGACCTTTTAAAATTAATTTAAAACCAGAATTCACTAGGAAGCACTGACATGACTCAGTGTTACCAGCACTGCTTTGCGTCCTACATAGCAGG